TCCTCAAAAAGCTAAAAACAGAACTACCATATGATGTGGCAATTCCACTTGTGGAAATATAATTTGAAGAAAATGAAAACACTAACTCAAAAAAATACATGCACCCCAATATTCATAGGAGCATTACTTGTAATAGCCAAGATAAAGAAACAGCCTAAGTGTCCATCAACAGATGAACAGATAAAGAAGATGTGGTACACACACACACACACACAATGGAATACTACTCAGCCAGAAAAATGAAATTCTGCCATTTGCAACAGTGTGGATGCTCCTAGAGGACATTATGCTCAGTGAAATAAGTCAGAGACAGACAAATACTCTATATTATCACCTATATGTGAACAAACAAATGTATATAACAAAACAGAAATAGACTTGCAGAAGCAGAGAGCAAACTAGTGGTTACCAGTGGGGAGAGAGGAGGAGGGAAGAACAAGATAGGAGTAAGGAATTAAGAAATACAAACTACTATGTATAAAATAAATACAAAGCAAGGATATATTGTACAGCACAGGGAAAACAGCCATTATTTTATAATAACTTTAAGTTATTTATATATATAAATTTATATATAATTTATAAAAATATTGAATCACTATGTTGTACACCTGAAATGAACATAATATTATAAATTAAAGGTCAATTAAAAAAGAACAATAAAACAAGGAAAGATGTTCAGAATAATCCCTGTGTGTGTGTGTGTGTGTGTGTGTGTGTGTGTCCGTCCATGTCCCTTAACTGTAGAATTACTTAACTATGGAATTAAGACTTCTCTTCTTTTTGGACTTGCCTACATTTTCTGCAAATAATTACTTTAGACTTCTCTTCTTTTTTGGACTTGCCTACATTTTCTGCAAATAATTACTTTGTGTATTTAATTTCATAACAAATAACCACAACTTCACAGCTTACAACAACAGAAATCTATCCACTCACAGTTCTGGGGGCAAAAGTCTGAAATCAGGTGTTGACAGGGCCATGCTCCTTCCAAAGGCTCCCTGGAAGGGAGGCCTCTTCCAGCTTCAGGTGGCTATCAACATTCCTTGGCTTGAGTCCACATCACCCCAATCCTGCCTCCATCTCCTTGCCTTCTCCTCTTCTGTGTGTCTATCCTCTGAGTGTCCATCCCTAAAAGCCCTCTGCCGCTTACATTTAGGACACAATCAGATAATCCAGGATAAACTTTTTCTCTCCAGATCCTTAACTTAATCACATTTTAGTCACTCTTAACCATATAATGTAACAGTCACAGCTTCCAGGGATTAGGACGTGGACATATTTTAGGGGAGCTACCTTCAGCCCATTACACCTTATAATCAACAAAAAGAAATCTTTTGTTTTCCTTTTGGGTACTCACTACTTTGTGCCTTGCTTTAGCCCAGAGCCCAGTGCCTAACTCATGATAGACGTGAAGTAAATATTTGTTGAAGGGACGAATAAACTGCCCAGAGTAGACACTGTGTTCAGGATGGGAGATTATGGATTACTACTTTCCTTTCTATTTTTCTTTGTTATTTTTTTCTTACTATAATTTTCAGATGCCATTAAAAGTTATTTCCTTTTTTTTTACCTATATTCAAAAAGTTGTCTCTCTAAAGCTAGGAAGCTAAAAACTTCCAAAAGCTCCATATTGTAGTACAGAAGTGGGAAGTCAAGCTTTCTTGGCTTGGGCTCCATCCTAAGAAGCTAAGTGAAGAGCCCCACCCCTTGAGGCCCCTCCTACAGCAGTTTCTCTTCTGCAGCCACCCCACAGCAACACAGAGCTGGAGACCGATATGTTAAGAAAGGTTCCCTTCTGTCATTTTGCCGTTCTCCCCCCGGCACAGGAAACACTGATGAGATCCACATCATGAATATAGTACCTGGTCTTCTTCCTGAGAATTCCTTCAGTTCTACGCATCACTTAACCCCATTTGAGCAATAACACTGAACATCTGCAAGGTCTAGCTCAGGAAGAATAAACAGATGTGCCTGTGCTCACACACACACGGAAAACATGCTAAGAGATCGTGTCACTCTTTACACACAGCATCGGGATCCTTCTAAACACAACTCCTCAGGCAGTCAGAGCCATCAGTCCAATTTGGCATAAATGCCATTTTTCAATCCTCATCCAGCCTGTGCTGGAGAATGTATCTTTATCATCAACAAACACTTGCTGAGCTCCTACTGTGCACAAAGGCTCACAGTCTAGGTGTGGGTTCAGGAAAGTTAACAAAAAAGAGATACAAGGCAATGCCAGGGAGCCTGTGCTAATGGCCAAACACGTGACAGATCAACTTGTTGGAAGAGTTTAGATGTTGGTGGAGACGCGTGAAGACTCCAAGAAGGCTGCTGGAGGAAATCAGGCTGTAGGCAACCGCTGAAGGAAACACTGGATCTAGATAAGCGGGCAAACACGGAGAGAAAAATCTCAACTTGAAGAGGAATGTGACCCAGACTTTGGAGACAGACAGGAATGCACGGGATGTTTTGGGGGAATGGAGAGCAAACCAGTTTAGCTAATACCAATGCCATTCAGGTGACATTCAGCTCAAATGTCACCTTCTTGGAGAGGCCTTCCCTGACCAGTCCAGCAAAAACGGGTTTTTCTTCATGGCCATCCAGTCTGTGAGCTCCCCAGGACAGGGATCTTGTTTGGTTTGTTCACATCCATGCTTCCAGCATCTGGAAGAGAGCCTGGCACATAGTAGGTGCTCAGAAAAAATGTACTGGATAAATGAATGAGCCAAGGGTTCCTGTAGGGGAACTTGGAAGCACTCAATATGGAGAGACAGACGGGCTCAATTATTATTGCCTTTGAACATCAAACTAAGGACTTTGGCCCAAGGAAAAGCGTTGCAAAGTGCTTCCCATCCCTTCCATCAAATGTAGTTAAGTAGCTCAGGATCAGGAATTCTAGATTCAGTGCATCTTGGGATCACTGGGCTATGCAAAGTTTAGCAAGTTTGTTTTCTGTAGTTCTTTCACCTGCACCGTATCACTGTGGATATTCAAATGCTCCCCCAGTATTAACCCATATCCCTTTTTTCTTTTTTTCTTTAAGTGAATCATACTGAATTCAACGTTGCCTTCAAGACAGTTTGAGAAATGAAGCCGCAGAAGCTTTAGAGATGCTGGAGTGGGAGGTTTATGCATAGGCAACGGAATTCTTAGGAGGACCGATCCTAAAATTAGAAGGACGGATTAGAAGAGGAGGGAGACTTAAAACTCGGAGCCTAGTTTGGGGATTATAGCAGGAGTCATTCCCTCAATTACATGCCACACATGTGATGCGCCAGACGTTACTCCAGACAATGGGGATAAAGCAATAAACACAACAAAGTGTACCCCACATGCACAGGGCAACCATAATGTCCTGGTTTGTCCTGGCCAGGCCTAATTTTTGTCTGTTGTCCTCACACAGTTATTAAATAGTGCCATATTTACTCTCAAAATTGTCCTGGTTTAGATAGTAAATTAAACGGTCACCCAATTCATGGAATGAGAAGAGATCATGAGGCTAGCCCACAGGGCACCTTTGGGTTACTAGACACAGGGTCCCCAGCTGAGTAGACACAGCCCATAGGAGCACACTTGGTCGAGCAGCTAACCCCTTAGTGCAAATCGAATAAAGGCATCTTTATGGGAAGATGTTGGCCCTTCCAGGACACTCAGCTTAGAAGACAGAGCTCAGGCTGGATGTCTTGACACCTCTTCCTTACTGCACGCAGGGATCTGCAAGCTAGGTATGGATTCAGGAATGATTTTTTTAAAAGGACACAAGGAAATGCCTGGCCCAGCCCTCCTGTGCATTAAGCAACTGGCACAACCACTAGTTGATGTCCTGGAGATAATAAGCAAATAAATATGTAAGTATATACAACGTTAAGTAGTGGAATGTGCTGTGAAGAAAACCAACCTGAAGGAAGGGAACTGAGTGAGGGGCAGCCATACTGCATACTCCAGCAGGCACCACTGGTGGTGTGGTCTATGGAAGGGGCGCCCCCTGGGGTTGAGCAACATGGCCACCTGACAGGAGGTGCTATTTTAGAAAAAGTGGTCGGGAAAGGCCTCTCTGTGGAGGTGGTGTATCATCTGACACTGACTAAGGAAAGGGGTAGACAGGAGAGAAACATCACGGTGGGGGTGGGGGGGGCATACGACCTGGTGGCCGGCTTTGGGCGAGGACTTTGAGGGGTGAGTGTTAAAGCTGACATCAGGCTTTCATGCCTGAGGAACTAAGAAAATGATGGCACCACTCAATTCTGCCCAATTCGCTCAGCCTGCCAGAGTGGGTGGTGCAGGGAACACACCACCGAAACAGGCAACTTCTCTTGGGGAGTTGACCTTCACCATCAGGATTTCCCAACCTGTCTGGTGGAACTCTAGCTTGGTGGTATGTTAATTGGTGTTCCTAGAAAAAGTTGCTCAAAACAGATTGGGAAATGCTGGGTTAAGCAAAATTAAACAGCTTTCTTTACTAGAAGACTTCTCGGAGCTTTTAGTAGGCTAACATGCTCTGTGAATCCCTAGCAGGGACTACAGATGGAAGCCTGTCCTAAATTAGCTGCCCAAAGACATTTTTTTCACACAGTAATTCAGGAGACTAGTGTTCCCCACTGGGGGTGGAAGGGTACTGTGCTGTAGTCAAATGCCAAATGGGCCAGAAATAGAAAGCAGAGTCAGATTAGGGCTGAGGTGGGGGAGGCAGAGATAAGGGAGCCCCGAGGAGGACGGAGGCTCCACAGCTGTTGGGGCCCACAGCTGCCATGGGGCAGACCTGCCCGTGGCCACCCCACAGGACTGGCTTCACCCAAAGTGCAGTAGCAACCTCTGAGTCAAACCCCCTCGGGGCCAAGTTTAGCCTCTGACTGACTAGCTTAAGTCTGATCTCCCTGGGCCTCTACTTACCCTTCTATAAAATGGGCATAAAAATATTGCCCTCCCTCTGCTGGGTGGCACAAGGCGCTGGTAATTACTATTTGGCAGGGTGCTAAGGTGCTGACAAGCTTGACCTGACACATTTCTCCGCAGCTCCTCCAGACACTGCACCTCACCTCCCCAGAGGCTACGGGCCATCAGAAGCCCCTGCAGCTCGCACAGACCTCAGCAAAGCCGGGCCAGCAGGCAGGTGTCTCTCTCTCTGGCAGCATCTGTCAAAACGAGAGACTTGCCTAAACTTCAGCTGCCGCCTGGACATTGTGGAGGTGGGAGACCCACCTGCCGGCTGCCATCCTGGGGCCCTGCTGCGCCTGGGAGGCTGCTCGGGGCTGGGACACCCAGAGGGGTTGTCACCAGCCTGGAGGTGGCCATGTGGTGTCCTTCTACCTGAGGAGGGGCCCGCCCAACCAGGGCCTTCTCCAAGCCAGGTGATGACTACGTCCGAGGACCGAAGCCCAGCCCAGCCTGGTGGGACGAGCGAGCCAAGGTGGGTGCTGTGTGTCTGAGTGGGCAGGGAGAGGACGTCCAGTGGGCAGAGCTAGCCCTGCTCCAATCCTTCCACCAGGGAGGAAAAGAGGGTGCCTTCTTTCGAGTGCCAAGGAAACCCGGAGGTTCCTATACATTCGCTTAGCTTGCAAAACCAGCCTCCATCGCCGCTCCCAAGGGGTAGGACAAGCTTATGAAGCATGATGGCCTTTCTGTGGTGACTTTTTCCCTTGCTAGTCTGTGAGATTTTTACCCAGTTTCATCCACATGTGGAATGTTGGGGAGCCCGCAGAGCAGCACATGGCAACCTTGAATCAAATCTGGAGTCCCTTGGAACAAGTCTGCAGGTGATTGAAGTAATGCCTGGCCTTGAGCAGAAGGATGGGAAAGGGGTAGCTATTGGATCTCCCTGTGTAATTTTGAAATGCTAGCATGCTCATCTGCAGAGTGGGATCGCAGTAACATTAAGCTCTTCCAGGTGTCAGAACACACTCCTGTGTACTGGGCTTTCTCCTGTGACCCAGCTGTTAGGGCTGATGTACACCTTGCTTATTTATACCATCATGCCTTCTGTCCAGCCTCAAAGCCACCCTTACCTAGTGGGCTCTTGCTTTCATCCTTGGCTAAATTCAGCCACTGTAAAATGTGTTAAGAGAGAGCTGAGACTCTAGCAGATGGCTGTCCACATCTCCAGGCCCCTGGCACTGAACACCAGTTTAAAATCAAGATGTTTTAATCCCTAGAAACTGGGGGGCTAGATTGGGGAATGACGTCAGAGGCCTGTCTAGCTTAGCTTATAGCCCCCACCTTCTTTAACAGTCATCACTATCTTTAGCCCTAGCGTGTTACCAAGTGACTCGTCAATGTCACAGGGACCATGCAAAAAATCTTAGGCACGTCGTTAACCTCATTCCAACGTGTAATTAGCCTAAAAGGCCTCCTCGCTGCCTCCACTCAGCGTTACATCACAAAGAATCAGACATTTGCAGGACACCATGAAGACTTTAAAGAGTTAATTATGGCTCACTGGAGCCCATCCCCAGGAGCCCACGATCGAGGAATTAAACTGTTTATTTTCAAGTGTCAGTCTTCAAGAGAGCAGGCACAGCCACTTCCCCCATGGAATCTGAGACTGACATTGGTTTGAGAGTAGAGCCACCAGAGTACGCAGTGGTGGGTTAGAGGAGGGAATCTGACTCGGCCTTCCTCCGACTTTTGGCCATGTGTTTTCAGAGATATCATCTGTACAGTGTCAGAGAGAAAAGAGAACCAAGGAGAGCAGGAATTCTACTTACCCTCCTAGTTTCATGGGGCGAATCCAGCTAAAGCCATTTGTAATCTCTGAGCTGGAGAGACCAACAGTGTGTCCACAGTTCAAAGCAAGTTCAACCCTAATCTGGATGTTACAATCTGAGCCAATCTAACCATGCAGGCTCTGAGGACATTATTATCAGTCAAGTGTAATTATAGATAAAATAGTTTTATTAATCAGCTTCCTAAGAGGGCTGTGTTTATCTGATGGCTGAGCATGGCGTGGCGGGATCTGGGCTGTGTGTGGCGGGTCTCTGAGGAGGAGAGCAGGCCAGATACAGGAGGAAGTGTGGCTGGGAGCTGTGTCTGGGTGTTATGCAGGCTCTGAGTATGAGGAGTGGGAGTACATGGGGTAGAATTCTGCCTTTTCTCCCTACTCTTTGTCATAACTTGGATTTGTCATAACTCTTTTCCCCCCAAAAATAGGCTTTTCCGTATTTCTATTTAGCTAGGATCTATGGAGCTCCCAATTGCAGATTCCACCTGCAGGTGTCCTCTTTAGTCACTAACTGTCCACCAAATTTTCAAATCTTATCTCCAGATCTATTCTGGCTTGTCTTAAACAACCATCACTTTAAACTAGTTTGTCAGTTGCAAAGGATCCTGGCAGGGTAGCACTCCTGAACACTGGCCTGACCAGAAGTCAACTCCACTCACCTCTGGGCAGGATAAAGCTGCTCGGGGCCCAGACATTAACGGGATCCTCTGTAAAGTCTGCGATTGCAATTTAAACTTGTTTAAACATCAGGGGTCAGGTGGGTGTCAGGTAACACTGCACAGCTAGGTTCCCCCTCTGCTGAAGGCTGAGCCACTGCCCAGGGACTGTGGAAGAGGCATGGAGCCAGCCGGGCCACCTCTGCCCTTCCCCCCAGTCGGCTCGCAGCGCTAGCTACTTGAACTGGCCTCTCTCAGCACAGCCGTGTCTGCTGGCGATTATGCAACTCACCGCTTGCTTTGGCTGGAACGCTTAACCCCAGTTGATTCTTTCCTCCCTCAGGAGGCCTTGTGCAAAATCTGTCATCTGCCTTAATGCAGAGGTGCCACCTGACCTCTGCCTGAAGTGACAGCTACAGCCAGGGGTGGCTACAACCCCCAAGTCAGAAAGACCAAGAGCCCGTTTCTGTCCCATAGAGGCAGGTGGCATCCATTCCATTCTCCCCTAGATACTGCAGAAGGGTGAACTTGCCAAAGCCCATGCACGGAGCTTTGCAGACAGATGTAAACTGTGCCAGCTGGGATCTCTATGGCCATATGGCAAATCTGGCTGGCCACTCTGTAAAGTGAGCTGTTGGGATTCCTGAAGCTTCTTTGTTCCCAAAAGGGCATGTTGGACCTCAGGGGAAAAAAGTCTGGATGAGGGAATGAATATTATATAAAAGTATTGCTCCATTTAACATAATTAAGGGCTGTTGGCCAAATATGGAGGCCTTCTCCTAACTCCCAAGGTTGATATACTTTTGACAGATGCCAGATAAGAGACTGCAAATGAACAAAGGGACAGATGAGTATCTACTAGGTACGAGATGCACACATCTGTATTACTTTAATTAATCTAGTAAGTAGCTAATATTATTCTAATTGTGCTGATTAGGAAACCGAGGATTGGGTAAGGTTAGTGGTGGTGATGATGTAGCAGCAGGAGGCAGTGCAGCCCTCGTTTACTGAGTGTTAAGTAAATGTCAGGCTATGGGCTAAGTAAGTACTTATTTTACAACCTCTCATTCAATCCACACCAAAACTCTGAAGTAACAATGTGTTTATCCAGGCTTTTAGATGAGGAAACTGGCTCAGAGAGATAAGTATCACTAGCTACCAAGTGACAGCACCGAGCTTTGAGTCCACATCTATCACCTAGAGCTCCTTCTCGCACTTGTTTTTTTCTTAGATACCTTCTCATCTGGCTTTTGCTCATCGCAATACCACAGTTGCCTGTTTAGTTCTTGTATCACTTGCTAATGTCCCACATCTCACTGGTTCTTTGGAACCAAAGGGATAGCTGTCAACTCAGAAGGAACCTAAATCCTACCTCTCTGCCTTGGCACGTTGAGAGGAATTAAAATATCACTTCATGAAGAGATGAGGGAGCATGACAGCCAGGACTAAAGGAGACACCTGTCTTCACTTTGACTCCAACAGCTCAGCGATAACTTCCCCAAATGCAGGCCCTGGACAAACACCCTGGGGAGTGACACGTTCCTTATGGGAACCTCCGCGGGTTTGCAAATTCAAGGCACAGACAAGTCAGTGTTGATGCGAACCTCTTGTTGAGGTTGGGCAGCTTCCCAAATTTGAAGGCTCTCCCCTCAGACTTATAAGTACTAATAAGTACCAGGAATCACTGGATTTCAGTTAGGATATGATGACAAACTCTAGAATGAAGCAATAAATCAGACAAGTTCATAATAGTGATAGACTGCAATTTTGTGAAAAGCGCAATGCCTCAGTCCTTACACCATTCTGTACTTACTACCAAGACTATTTCTCTGAATGAGTTTCCCAACAATACCAAAGTCAGGAAATTTCCGTGTGTAATTCAGACCTTTGCATTTTTCATGGCAAATTAAGCTGTGGGAGGCAGCAGAAGATTGCAAGGAAACAACTAAAGATGACAGTACTAGTTCAAAATGAGTGGGAGAAGAAAACCGAGCAACAATCTCTGTAAAAAATAACAGCGGACCCTGGAAAGATACACAGGCGAAGAGTAAGAGGAAAATCAACGTTTTTGACGAAGTATCATTGCTTCCCTGCGCAAATATGCCCCTGAAGAACAGACAAGATCTGAGGACTCCTCAAACTCAAAGTCCTCATCAACCAGCCAGAGAGCCGCCCCACCCAGTTCACAGGGGCTGATCCCCCAGGCACCACGATTCAAACGTCCAGGGCTGCCACGTGGTGACACAAGGGAAGACTCAAGTCAACCTTCCATGAGCTCTGGGGCTACCCACTCATTCTGTCCCCCACACACCTGCAGGTTTCCTCTTGTTGGAAACAGCCTCTCCTTCTGGTTATTCCATACATCGTAGAGCATCGTGGGCAGTGGCCTGAGTTTTGAATCAGGCAATCCTAGGGGGCACCCTGGCTCTGCTACTGGTTAGCTGTAGAACCTTGGGCAAATTACTGAAGCTCTTTGACCTCAGTTCCCCCTTCTGTAAAATGGGGATAATTAACAGCCCCAACTTCTACAGTTGTTGTGCTTGGCACATATTAAGGAACCGTTTTTACCAGGTCATTCTAATTTTTTCTGGCCCAGCTCAAATGCCACATCCCACAGGAAGCTTTCTCTGACTTGTTCCAACCCTTCCTGACCTCCCCCTCCCTGTAGGTCCTACAGCCACTAACTCAAAATTTGGCTTGGACCTCTGAATATTTCCTCCCCAAATCTCTGTTAGAGCATCTATTACCTGAAGGCGTCAGGTCTTTAAGACAACTAGGTCTCACTTTTTTTTTAATACTCCTGAAAATACTGGGCTATTATATATATATATTTTTTAATTATTATGTTTACTACATTCACATTTTAACATTTCTGAAATCAGGATAAGCTCTATAATCTAACTGCACATTTAACATAATGTTTTCTCCCCACGATGATTACCTAAATCAATGATGTATATTATAATCAACAACGTCTTATAAATCAGATTTGGCTGATTGATGAGGGTAGAGCTATGCAAATCCAATTATAAATTT